AAGAGACTGGGCAAGGAAACCAGAGCATGGGAGAGGCAATACGAGGATCTTCTGTATGAGTTGTGGGCTGTTTCTCTCAGGAATATGTATCTTTCCTGGATGAAGACCGGTATTGTATCAGCACAAGTGTAGAATGTTAACGACATGGCGAAGGCGAAAAATCCTAACCGTTCTTGCACTCCTCTCGGGGAATCATCCAACCGCCAGAACATGGTGGCCAGGATGAATCCGGTTATTGTAACTGTTCCGAGTCTGGTGCCGAGAATCTCGGGCATGCGGCCCATATTTCGGAACGACCGTTTCGATAGCACGAATATTTCGGTCCAGATCGGGTTGGCATGTGTTCGGATGGTTTCCACTGGGCTGCCATCGTTGGCGGTGGCGCCAGACACTAACTTCCCTCGGGAAATGCTGGCTGCAATGGCGAATTTAAGAGGTAAAATATTAGACGTTTCCGGTTCGTTGTTTCGGTTTCCGGTCCAACTCCGGTTGAACTCGACCAGACCTTTGGTCCCGTTGGTTGAGCCTTGGAGTTCGCGGATGAGGTCCAGAGCGAACTCCGCCCGATTCTCGCTTTCTGGAATGGGATGCCCGAAATCCGAGAAGAATCGGGTCAGGTTTGCGGGAGATCCGTTGTAAACCGTTTCTCCACCGGAGAGGAAGAGAAGCCGGTCGAGTAAACCCATTATCCGGCAACTCGGCTGGTGAACCGACATGATGACGATGCTTCCGGTCTGAGCAATTCTCTGTAAAACCTTCACCACGTTGAAAGCGCTGGTTGAGTCGAGGCCGGATGTCGGCTCGTCGAGGAAGAGGACGATCGGGTCGTGGATGATGTCAATCCCTATCGAAACGCGCCGCCTCTCTCCTCCGGACACACCCCGGTGTCCTTCGTCGCCGATGACCGTCGCCGCGGCGTTCCGAAGCCCTAACTGATCGATCAACGCCTGGACTCTCTGCTTCTTCTTCGAACTCGAGAGAGTCCGCGGGAGGCGGAGCTCCGCCGCGAACATGAGCGTCTCCTCCACCGTGAGCATCGGATACAGGAGGTCATCCTGCATAACGTAAGCCGATATGACCTTCAACTGCCGGAATCCCAACGGCTCGCCGTTGAGCGTGACCGTTCCTTTCAAGCTCTCCTTCGAAATCTTACACGCCAAGGCATCAATGAGAGTCGACTTTCCAGATCCCGACGCGCCAATGACGGCGAGGATCTCCCCCTCACGCGCCTGCCCCGAGACATCACTCAGGATCACCTTTTTCTCTCGGCAGAGTTTGTCCGGGCGGCGGAGAAACGGCGGGAGAATCGCTCTGCTCCGGATTCGTACGCTATATGTGAGATTATTGAAGGAGAGTACGAAAGGGAGAGGGCCGCCACGATCGGATCCGGAACAGTCCACTTCAATGACTTGCTGATTCGCCGGAGGAGGAGTCTCTCCTCCGGCACCGGCAGCGTACCTCAACAGACTGCATACCGTCGGGGACGAAGCTCCAAAAGGTAACATTGACATCTCCATGTGGACACAAACGGAAACAGAGTAGTATTGATTTAATTTAATTACAGAAGTGCCGAAAACAGAGCAGTATTCATTTTATTAACAATGCATGGAATGCCGATTTCATGGAGTAATGTGGGAGATATATATAGGTCAAAGAATGGTGAAATGGATCATAGGCTTTAAAGATGGTTGATAATTTGAAGGACAGAAATGGGAAGAGTGATGAGCTAGTGGGGGGGGGGGGGGGGGGGG